AAGAACACTTGTATGAGTGTCAGGGTTATAATGAACAACTTTTGGGTGTCGGGGTTTTTAAAAATAAAAAACTGTTGGGGGTTTTCAGGGTTTTTAAAAGAACCCTTGTCAGGTTTGCCCAGGGTGAAAATAAGGGAAAAAACCCAATTGAGGGTCGGGGTGTATAAAAACACTTGTCATGAGTGTCAGGGTGTATAATGAACCCTGTTGAGGGTCAGGGTTTTATAATGAAAAAAATTTGCCCATAAAGTGTCGGGGGTGTATAATGAACAACTTTTTGAGGGTCAGGGGGGGTATAATGAACACTTGTCATGTTTTCAGGGGTAAAATGAACAGTGTCATGGGTGTCGGGGGTGTAAAAATTAAACAACTTTTTAGGGTCAGGTGTATAATAAAACATTTGTATGAATGTCGGGTTTTTAAAAAATGAACAACTGTTGGGGGAGGGTGTTTTAATAAAACATTGCCCATGAGTTTTCCAGGGTGTATAAGGGAAAAAATGTTGGGGGTCAGGGTGTAAATGAACACTTGTCATGTTGTCAGGGTGGTAAATGAAAAAACCCGGGTTGAGGGTCGGGGTTTTATAATGAACAACTGTTGGTGCCCGGGGTTTTGTAAAAATGAACAGCTTTTGAGGGTCGGGTTTATAAAAACCAGGGTGCCCATGAGTGTCAGGGTGTATAATGAAAACCTTTTTAGTGTCAGGGTGTATAATGAACATTTTCGGGAGTCAGGGTGTATAATGAACAATTTTTTGAGGGTCGGGGTGTTTAATAAACCCACTTGTCATAAATGTCGGGGTTTAAATAATGAAAAACTTTTGAGTGCCCAGGGGTAAAATAAAACCTTGTCATGAGTGTCAGGGTGTATAATGAACAACTGTTGAGGGCCCGAGTGTATAAAAAAACACTTGTCATGAGTGCCCAGGGTATAATGAAAAACTTTTGGGGGGGTCGGGTGTATAATGAAAAAATGTTGGGGGTTTCAGGGGTATAAGGGAACACTTGTCTTTGAATGTCAGGGGTGTTTTAATGAAAAACCCGTTGTAGGGTCAGGGTGTATAATGAACAGTGTTGAGGGTCAGGGTATATAATGAACATGTGTCTTGGGGGTCAGGGGGGTAAATTTTGAACAACGTTGGGGGTTTCAGGGTGTAAAATGAACCTTGTCATGAGGGGAAAGGGTGTAAAAAATGAACAACTGTTGAGGGTCAGGGTGTAATAAAACCAACTTTTGAGTGTCAGGGTGTATAATAAAACAGCTGTTAAAGGGTCAGGTGAATAAATGTGTCATGATTTTTTTCAGGGGTATAATAAAAAAACTGTTGAGTCCCCAGGGTGAAATAATGAAAAATTGTCATGAGGTCAGGGTGTAAAATTTGAACAACGTTGGGGGTTTTCGGGGTTTGTAAATGAACACTTGTCTGAGTGTCGGGTGTAAATGAACAACTGTTGAGGGTCAGGGGGGTATAATGAAACACTTGCCCATGAATGCCCGGGGTGGTATAATGAAAAAAAAAAAAAACTGTTGGGGTTTTCAGGGTGTAAAATGAACAACTGTTGAGGGTGGGGGTTTGTATAATGAACACCTGTCATGAGTGTCGGGGGTGTATAAAAAACAACTTTTTTGAGGGTCGGGTTTTTAATGAACACTTGTATGAGTGTCAGGGTGTAAAAATGAAAACTTTTGAGGGCGGGTGTAAATTTGAAAACTTTTTTGAGGGTCAGGGTGTAAATAAACCATTGTCATGATTTGTCGGGGTTTTTAAAAATAAAACAACTTTTTGAGTGTCAGGGTGTAAAAAGAACACTTGTCAGAGTGTGGGTGTTTTAATAACAACGTTGAGGGTTCAGGGTGAAATAATGAAAAACGTCGGGTTTGTCAGGGTGTAAAAGAACCCCCCATTGAGGGTCAGGGTAAAAAATGAACACTTTTTCAGGGTTTTTTGGGGTGTAAAATAAAACAACTGTTGGGGGGTCGGGTGTAAATAACACTTGCTTGATTAAAAAGGGTTATAATGAACAACTGTTGAGGGCAGGGTGAAATAATAAAACACTTGTAGAGTGCCAGGGTGTATAAGGGAACCCAACTTTGAGGGTAGGGTGTAAAAGGGAAACTTGTCATAAAAAGTAAAGGGTTATAATGAACAACTGTTGAGTTTCAGGTTTGTATAATAAAAACTTGTCATGAGTGCCCAGGGTGTTTAAATAGAAAAAACTTTTTTAAAGGGGCGGTTTTTAAAAATTGAGCACTTCCCCTTTAAGGGTCATTTGGGGTAAAATGAAAATTTCCCATACAAAAATGGTTTACAATCCCAAACCCAAGAAAAATTAAAGGGGACACTTCCCAACATCTGGGAATTTTTAAAAGGGTTGGAAATCATCGGGGGGAAAAAAACCCCAATTTTCCAAAAGTGTCTTAATTTCATCAAAATTTGTCATGACTGTCAGTGTGTACAATGAAAACTTGTCATGAGCATCAGGGTCATGAAGGACCCTGACAAAAAAAATGGAAAAAAATAGCAACCAAAAGTTGTCATTACATTGACAAGGAGAGCACTAAACACAAATGGGTCAAGCAGCAGCTGCACAATAATGAGACAGCGTGGAGAACAATATTTTATTGAGTGTTGCTGCGTAGAACTTTATTACAGTAAAAGTACGTAAACTGGACCTCCATAAAACAGTCATCTGTTAAAACAGACAAAAAAATCTTGCCAGGCAAAGATTCAACATATATGATTAATGGGATATCTCCTCATTAAAACAGCTACAAAAAAGACCAAATCCACTACAGGTTGGCCATTACTAATCTGGCATCATTGGGACCTGTAGTGTGCCGGATTAGTGAGTTTGCTGGATTACAGAGTGTGCCGGATTAGTGAGTTTGCTGGATTACAGAGTGTGCCGGATTAGTGAGTTTGCTGGATTACAGAGTGTGCCGGATTAGTGAGTTTGCTGGATTACAGAGTGTGCGGATTAGTGAGTTTGCTGGATTACAGAGTGTGCCGGATTAGTGAGTTTGCTGGATTACAGAGTGTGCGGATTAGTGAGTTTGCTGGATTACAGAGTGTGCCGGATTAGTGAGTTTGCTGGATTACAGAGTGTGCCGGATTAGTGAGTTTGCTGGATTACAGAGTGTGCCGGATTAGTGAGTTTGCTGGATTACAGAGTGTGCCGGATTAGTGAGTTTGCTGGATTACAGAGTGTGCCGGATTAGTGAGTTTGCTGGATTACAGAGTGTGCCGGATTAGTGAGTTTGCTGGATTACAGAGTGTGCCGGATTAGTGAGTTTGCTGGATTACAGAGTGTGCCAGATTAGTGAGTTTGCTGGATTACAGAGTGTGCCGGATTAGTGAGTTTGCTGGATTACAGAGTGTGCCGGATTAGTGAGTTTGCTGGATTACAGAGTGGTTAGGTTAGAATACACTCTTTCTGCTACATCTTCCTCATTTTCATCACTGCATTCTCCTCCACTGGCTTGCTGCTGTGGATTTACAATCATCTGCACAATTTCTGAGTCAGTATACCTGGTTACCTGGAGGTTATTCTGGGGATCAATGCCTCCGCGGCCTGGTCCATGACCAGGCCTCCTGGTGGATCAGGGCCTGATCAACCAGGCTGTTACTGCTGGCCGCATGCAGTCCAATGTACGAGCTACAGCCCGGCTGATCCAGCACTGACTTTAGGTATCTGTCCAGCTCTCTCTTGAAGGCAGCCAGGGGTTTATTGGTAATTCCCCTAATGCTTGCTGGGAGGCTGTTGAACAGTCTTGGGCCCCGGACACTTGTGGTGTTTTCTCTTAGTGTACCAATGGTGCCCCTACTTTTAATTGGGGGTATTTTGCATCGCCTGCCCAGTCTTTTACTTTTGTAGGGAGTGACTTCTGTGTGCAGATTCGGGACCATTCCTTCCAGGATTTTCCAAGCGTAGATTACGATATATCTCTCTCTCCTGCATTCCGAGTACAAGTCAAGTGCTTCCAAGCGTTCCCAGTAGTTAAGGTGCTTGACAGAACTTATACGTGCAGTAAAGGATCTCTGTACACTCTCTAGATCTGCTTTGAATGGAGATGTTAATGTACAGCAGTATTCCAGCCTAGAGAGAACAAGTGATTTGAAAAGGATCATCATTGGCTTGGCATCTCTCATTTTGAATGTTCTTATTATCCATCCTATCATTTTCTTTGCACTTGTGATCGTGGCACTGTTGTGATCCTTGAAAGTGAGATCCTCAGACATTACTACTCCCAGGTTCCTTACATTATTTTTCCGCTCTATTGTATGGCCAGAGTTTGTAGTATACTCTGTTCTAGTTATTTTCTCCTCCAGTTTTCCATAACGGAGTAGTTGGAATTTGTTCTCATTGAACATCATATTGTTTTCCGTTGCCCACTGGAAAACTTTATTTATATCTCCTTGGAGGTTAACCGCGTCCTCAGCAGATGACAGCCTCATGCAGATCCTAGTATCATCCACAAAGAATGATACAGTGCTGTGGTGTATGTCTCTGTCTATGTCTGAATGATGAAATTTAAAATTATGCTAACTGGATTACTGATGGAACCGGATAACTGATTGCTGGATTAGTGATGGCCACCCTGTATATCAAATGGCTATTTGGCCTGGTCATAGATTTGATAAAATGGATCGACTGTGCTTAATGGCAAGTCTGTACAGTCAAAGGTTAGGCAGACTGTACAGACTTGAAGCAGGGAGAGAGTGACCTAGTAGCAACCAGTGAAGAGGTGGGGCCAGGAGCTGTAACTCAAATCCTATAGCCACAATTAGGCAAGTACACACACACACATACAATAATTTCTGGCAATAAAATATTGCTCTTGACTGTACCTCTTATTGTCCAGGTGTTCTATGACCCCTACATGTCTAGCACTTCCCAGGGAATGAGAGAGAGAGAGCTGGTGTTCATTATCAAAGCACAAGAAAGCCTGAGTTATGAGCCTAGCAGGTGAAACCCGCTGGAGCCCTGGGTTGCACTGACCTGCTGGGTACGGCTGCTGGGGCGGATACGGTCCTGCTGGGTACTGCCCTGGGGGCATCTCACCCCCTGGGGGGATGTATGTATGCTGTGAGCCAAAGTTAGCATCTTGCTGTACACCTGCACTCTGCTGCATCTGTACAGCTCCTCCTCCAGCAGCTGCCTGCCCTCCCCTGCCACCTATGAATGGCAGACCCTGCAACCTGCCCATCATATCTCTGCAAGGAAAAAAATAATGTTATTTACCCATACTTGTTATAATATGATAACTGAGAACCTTGTGCAACACTTGGGTATCTTTATTGTGGGAATGTGTTGCCAGCCAGTGGCTTCTTCAGTCCAAGACAGAGAAGAACAGTGGAAGATGAAGAGTTTGAGGTAATCAGTCCCACAGCCTGGAGTCCATGTGTTCAGAGCATTAAGAATGATGAAAGTACAACATATGCGTGGAGAAATGGCTTATATACTACAGACAGGTGAGGTGCAGCAGTTGGAGGTGGCATCACCAGTGGACAAAACCCACTAGTGGAAGTAGGTCAGCTCTGTTAGTTAGGCAAGTGTTGAAGAATTACCTACATCAAGGTGTTGCCATGTCTGTAGGTAAATCTTCAACACTTGCCTAACTTACAGATCTAATCTACTTCCACTAGTGTATTCTTCCACTGGTGATGTCACCTAAAACCACTCCACCTTACCTGTTAGCAGTATATAAGGCAAGATTAAGACACATGTACAACAGATGGGTATCTTTATTGATGAAACATTTCACCTACACAGTAGGCTTCTTCGGTCAGTTCATCAACCTTGGAGAAAAAGTATTTTAAGTTGTCAGTCCCTCAGCCTGGAGAAGAGTTCAGCTCCATGGTCTCAAATGATATGAAGCTGAAGCATGAGAACAAAGTCTTAAATACTGCAAAGGTGAGGTGGAAGATCCGGAAGACATTGTAGGGGACGGGATCCACTAGTGGAAGTAAGAAGGCATCTCCATCTGGAGTCCAAACCTTTTCAGTCATAAACCACGGTACGGGTGGGGATTGAAGTCACAGTGAGTCGTAAAACTCCAGACCAGCATGTCATTACAATTTCTTGAATCATTCTCACTCATAACTAGTAGACACGTGAAGAGTGCAAGATGTCCTCTGTACCAGGATACTGTTGTGCTGCAGTGTCTGACAGGCTGAGGGACTGACCACCTCAAATATTTTTTTCTCCAAGGTTGATGGACTGATTACATCTTTATTTCAATACACCTGCTGCCTCTGTATTTGACTGAAGAAGCCTACTGTGTAGGCAAAATGTTTTATCAAAAAAGATACCTAACTGCTGCACATCTTAATTATCAACTTGTCAGTATTTTATACCAACAAGAAAGTACATTAGGCACTTCTCCACCAATATGTTGCATTTTTAACAAGATTGATGTGCTGAACACATTATCTCCAGGCTGAGGGACTGATTACCTCAAACTCCTGCTCATCTTCCACTGTTCTTCTCATTACTGGACTGAAGAAATCATTGGCTGGTGAGATGTTTCCACAAAAAAAGATTCCCAAATGTTGCACAAGTGTCATTTATTGACTTGTTGCTTTTCTAAACCATTTATTAAAAATATCATAATATAATAATAATAATAATAATAATAATAATAATAATAATAATAATAATAAAAGAACATAAGGAAGGAGCATTGCAGCAGGCCTACTGGCACATGCTAGTCAGGTCCAACTCACACCCAGTCATGTATTTATCTAATCAATTTTTAAAACTACACAACGTTTTAGCTTCTATGACGGTACTCGGGAGTTTGTTCCACTCATCCACAACTCTATTACCAAACCAGTGCTTTCCTATATCCTTTACAAATCTCAATTTTTCCAACTTGAAGCCATTGCTGCAAGACTTGTTTTGCATTATTTACATTATTTATTTACGTATTCTTGTTTTCCATGTATACATCTCAATCATATCCCTCCTAACTCTATGCCTTTCTAGAGAGTGCAGATTCAGGGCCTCAGTTTATCCTCATAAGGAAGATTTCTGATACATGGGGATCAACTTTGTACTTTTTCCAGTGTATTTATGTCCATTCTGTGACTAGAAAAGTGCAGCATTTATCTCCATTCTGTGACTAAAACAGTGCAGCATTTATGTCCATTCTGTGACTAGAACTATGCAGCATTTACGTCCATTCTGTGACTAGAACTATGCAGCATTTACGTAGATTCTGTGACTAGAACTGTGCAGCATTTATGTCCATTCTGTGACTAGAACTATGCAGCATTTATGTCCATTCTGTGACTAGAACTATGCAGCATTTATGTCCTTTCTGTGACTAGAACTATGCAGCATTTATGTCCATTCTGTGACTAGAACTATGCAGCATTTATGTCCATTCTGTGACTAGAACTATGCAGCATTTATGTCCTTTCTGTGACTAGAACTGTGCAGCATTTATGTCCATTCTGTGACTAGAACTGTGCAGCATTTATGTCCATTCTGTAATATAGTGACCAGAACTGTGCAACACAGTCTAAATGAGGCCTAACCAATGATATGTAAAATCCCCCAGTAAGCCAGCAGTAACCTACTTAAAATCCCCCAGTAAGCAAGCAGTGACCTACTTAAAATTCCCAAGTAAGCCAGCAGTGACCTACATAAAATTTCCAAGTAAGCCAGCAGTGACCTACTTAAAATCCCCCAGTAAGCCAGTAATGACCCACTTAAAATCCCCCAGTAAGCCAGCAGTGACCTACTTAAAATCCCCCAGTAAGCAAGCAGTGACCTTAGAATCCCCCAGTAAGCTAGCAGTGACCTACTTAAAATTCCCAAGTAAGCCAGCAGTGATCTACTTAAAAATCCCCAAGCCAGCAGTGATGTTAAAATCCCCCAGTAAGCCAACAGTGACCTACTTAAAATCCCCCATTACACATGCAGTGACCTACTTAAAATCCCCCTAGTGCATGGAACCAATCTTGGGCAGAAAACATTATATACTGAGTCAAAAAAGGAGAATTAGTGTGCACTACCTAGCAGAGTTTACTGCCAGAGGGGAATCATAGGCCTGGGTGCCGTGTGCAAAATAATAATAATTGAACTTTTCTTGTCAGAGGAAAGAAAGTCTCCCTGATAACATTGTGTATACATAGTGTTATAGTGTATACTACAGTGGCTCCCTAGTATATAGATGATAAAGGCTAAAGTATCATTTGAAAACAGGTGAATTTGTAAATGAAGTGATAAGCCTATAGAGGCAGGTGCCAGAAGTCGCCAGAAACTTACCACAGGTCAGCTGTTTTAATAATCTTCCTGGCCTGCTAGTGTTCCCGCATAAAATCTAGTGATACCAGTGAATAGCAGAATACAGTGTTGTAGTAGCAACTAACCAGTACAATATTATAATGGTACTTAGTGGAGTGGAGTGACTTTCATTAGTTTCTTTTTTCTTGAAATACCAGACATTACTGTGAATTTCATATAACCTGTAGTTACCAGCGGTCACAATATACACAACGAGAAGCAATTATCACTACAGAAAAGGCGTCCCTCCTCCAAAATTTCCACCAGTCAACTATAGTGATAATATAGCATTTATTGTGGTGGAGGCCAAAAAGAAAAAACTAGAAAAGCTAGATACAGCGATTGATAAACAAGGGTTGAGGCTCGACAGTTCGTACTGTAGGAGTTGCCAGCAGTCACCGGTTTCTTCAACACGCAAGTTATACTTTTGTATCAGTCAAATCACATATTACTCGGGTAGATAATTTCCAGTAGATCCTTCATGTGTTAGCCCAAATCACCGACCAGTATGTTTTAAATAAGTGACCCACTGATCAGATCAGATCGACTGGTCCGAACCCTCGACTGGATCAAACCCTCGACTGGTCCGAACCCTTGACCGGTTTCAAACGGATTCGTTGGAAAATAAAACAGACTGTAAACGGATGGGGTTGTAGGTGCCCTTATAAACGCAAACAATAAATATAAAACAAACTCCAGGAGCGTACTCTGGTAAGCTGTCCTGATATACAAGTACAGTTAGAAATAGAAATACAGATAGCTAGAGCTTTATTTAAGGAGGTTATTAATAGAGTATTCAAGAGGTTGCTAGTAGAATTACAGTAAATCAACCATTCAAATCATTATGAAGCTGTGTGTAGTCTGCAATAAATCAAACAAACGGGTTTCCACATGGATAAATTGTCATTTTTGTGGAAATTGGTGTCACGCCCCTTGTGCAGATATCCAAGAACTAGCTACAAGCAGTATTAAAACAGGGAAGTGTTTTTGGGTATGCCCAAAGGAGATAAATCTGTGGACTAAAATCACAAGGGTATTAAAAGAGGATAACATCAAAGCAAAGTAACATTTATGAAGGGATTCAGGGAAACCGGCAGGCCGGACTTGAGTCCTGGAGATGGGAAGTACAGTGCCTGCACTCTGAAGGAGGGGTGTTAATGTTGCAGTTTAAAAACTGTAGTGTAAAGCACCCTTCTGGCAAGACAGTGATGGAGTGAATGATGGTGAAAGTTTTTCTTTTTCGGGCCACCCTGCCTTGGTGGGAATCGGCCGGTGTGATAATAATAAAAAATAATAAACATCAAAGCTGCTTTCATAGACAACCTGGAAGCTTTCTACAACAGATGGGAACATAAAAAGTCTGGGCTAAATGGTACTGCCCTTGATACTGGCCATGTAGTCAGAAACTGTAAGGCTGGAGGTGATGGCCTGGTAGTCAGTAAATGTGGGGCTGATAATGCTGTCCTGGGAGATAGTAATGGTGAAGCTGGAGGTGCTGTCCTGGGAGACAGAAATGGTGAAGCTGGAGGTGCTGTCCTGGGAGACAGTAATGGTGAAGCTGGAGATGCTGTCCTGGGAGACAGAAATGGTGAAGTTGGAGATGCTGTCCTGGGAGACAGTAATGGTGAAGCTGGAGGTGCTGTCCTGGGAGACAGTAATGGTGAAGCTGGAGATTTTGTCCAGGTAGTCGGGAATTATACGCAGGAAGGAATGCATATAAATGACCTCATAGGGGACAGGAGCCGTAGTGGGGAAACAAGTGTAGTCAAAGATAAGATAAAACCAATATTGCAAACAAGAAATACAACAGGAAATAGCAAACAAGAGGACTCCACTAGCAATAGTGAGGATATATTACCAAAAACAACTGGTGGGAGCTCCATTGTTGGTGCTAGGGAAGACAGGAATAAGACAGGTAAAC